CGTGAACTCTTATCTCTCAGAGTCACCTAACGTTTCTCATCTGGGATGTCCATGTCCATCAAATTGGTTGAGTCCGCTCGCATTGATGAGTTCCTGGACAATGTCATAAAAGGAGGCGGCCTAGCCTTCTCTTGCATCTCCGGACTTCGAGGCTCCTCCGAAGCAAACGCAGTGTTGGTATCCAAGTAGTCGGCTGTCACTGTGCTCGGTGTCATCGTAGCTGATGTCGGCTCTGTCGGAGCTGTTGAATCTTGAGTAGGGCCTGCTAGTGAATCTGGGATGTAGCCTTCCATAGCAGTGAAGCTATGGACGTAATCCGACATTTCAGTACCGACTCTTTCGTCGTCATCAGGGAGGAAAGGATTGTCGAATCCGTTCCTATCATCGTCACTGCCGATCGAGGCACGATTGCTGTCCATCGAACCACCGCTATCAGACCGAAACTTCCTCTTAGAAGGCGAAAAGGACGAATGAGGCGAGAGAGACGAGCTGGACTCAATGTTACCTGTCTGCTGGGACTCATCGGCTGTGGATTCTTCCTTAGATAGCTCTTGACGGAAAGCTTTATTCTCCACCTTGATAAATCGTTCCAGTTGGGGCGATAGATGGTCCTTGGGCGTTCCAAGGGCCTCTTCCGTTGCGTATACCAGCATTGGTTTTTTGGTATCGTTCCAGATATCGACCAATACTGCGTCGATAGTTGTTTTCTGCAACTGTGTTAGTAAGAATAATCTCCACTACTTCAATCAATATCAAGTTCTCTTACCTCCGCTCTAATGGGCTCGTCTCCGGAATAAGGGGTATAAGCCAGCCTCCACCATTGATCTCTTGGTTTTGTCTCCTCGTCATCAAGGTCTATCAGATCTGCTTCCTCCCGTTGGCAGACATATAAGACGGTGGGCGATGCAACAAGTCCGCGGAGGAGATACCTTTTGCAGGACATGGGTTTAGGACGACTTGGCTTATCCGGTACTGTAAGGAGTCTCCCCAACGCTCGCTGTTTGGCTGTGATCTGTTCGAGCTCTACATCGAGGCCTAGGGCCATTTTAGCCAGGAGAACATAGGACTTTCAAAGCCAAGGCTTACCTTTCATCTTTGTCTCAAGGTCCACAAGTAAACTCTCCGAATAGTCCATCACGTCTATGACCTTCTGAGATTCCAGATACACGTTGTCGTCCACATCTGGAGGAGCAGTGCGGTAGTCAGGATACTTATCAGTATCGAATCCCGACTTCTCCAAAGTCTTGAATCGGAGAAAGTTTTCCAGATAACTCCTGTATCCCTCCCACTGATCGATCGCTTTTTTCAAAACAGCGCCCTTGTCATCAGTTGCGCCACCCCAGGTGTTCGCCAAGCTAAGAAGCTGTTCTTTCTCGTCCTGAATACGTTTCACATGTTCCTTTGTTTGGCACCATCCGTGCTGGATCCGTCGTGCCTCATCTTTCCGGCTCATGAGGTATCTTTCTGGGTAGAATTCCAAGGGAATCTCGAAAGAATCGCTTGGCCCATCACCAGTGGTGTCTAACACAAAGACATCGCCCATCTTTTTGAAAAATGCCATCTTCGATCCATCGTGTATTTTATCCAAACCCACGGTATCACTCCACATAACGTGATCAAGTGCCTCATACAGAGTTTTGATGCAGTGGTACTCATGTTGGAAGTGCTCTATCTCAAGAAGACCAAAGGTTGCGACTTCTTCTTCTTCTTCTTCATCATCATCTCCGTAGAATAGCGATACTCCAGCAATTTGCATCATTGGCCGAGTAACATCAGGGTGTCTTTTGTCGAGCATCTCATAGAATTGTTTTTCCATGCCCCGCGTGTCAGAATCCGCCAAAATATCTGCCAGAACAGATATCGAGCCATAACCACGCTCGGTAGAGTCAAGAAACGCCATCAATCGGTGTACTTCGTCCTCAAATGCACTGCCGCTCTTATGCACATTGGAGTCTGAGGTGCCTTCTTCAGCCATTTTTGCCAAAACCTCCGGTGATAGAATGGTTTCTCCTCGCCACCAGTCATTATTACAGCCGTATGTGGTAGCAGGCGATCCAATGCCGAGCAGTATGTTCCGTGCAAGAGGAATTTCATGCAGAATTGTGAGAAGCCCGCCGAGGCGGTGTTCACCACCTTGCACACTGCTGATTGCCAACATCGCGGGCGCGCCTGGAGCTCTCTTCCTCTTTGACGGTGCAAATTCATTTACGGAACTCTCCCTCATAGGATCAGATGGGACAATAGCCCAATCGGCCGCGACATATGTTTCGCGGTTTGCAGGACCGAAATGGGGAGGCGGTGGCTCCGACGTTCCTGTAATACCAGACTCGTGATGTGACACCGGTAGGCCAGCTTCTTGTGCTGACTCACGAATAGCTCGTTGCATGTCATCATCCTCTTGGGCTTGGCTCTCTGGGACACCTGTGTGTACCCTGGTTAGCGCATATTCACGAGGGCGATCAAGAGAGTTACCGGGCACATGTGCCGCAGTCCAGTCTACCATCGTACCCAAGGGAGATCGATTGTTTGATCGTGAAGGAGGTCTCGAAGGAGCGCCGTACGCGTGTGACTCTGACGGGGGAGTTACGCCTTGAATGACGTTGTGATCGGAAGACTCGACATGGAAGGCTATGGGGTCAGTTGACGTTCGGAGGGAGGCGTAACAGTCTACTGACAGATACCAGTCGTATTGTCGTTACCGTCTCGATCTGCGGCGAACATAGAATCGTCCCAAAGCTGTTTATATTTTGCTCGAAACTGCGATATAATCAGCATTTGCAGGGCATTGGCCTTGAATATGTTCGTACGCTTGATTCGTTTTCGTAGAATTGGCTGACAACATTCTGGGGGTCCCAGTTACTTTGCTGTCAAGTAGGTATATGTCAGTCGCAAAGCTCACTTTGAGGGGTCTGCCCCGTGCTAACCTTCAGAGCTTGAATAATCAGCTCACGATCGCCCATAGGGTCGAGACCCGTGAAATCGACCACACGATCTATTGATTCCTGATGTGACGTCTCCATGGCAGGGGCTGAAACGTCGATCGTCTTCTGCGAGTGCCAACAAGCTCAGTTTATTGATCAGACACTCCTCCCACCATGAAGGGGTGCCAAGGAGCTTTATTTCGATAGATGTTGCCCGATAAAGATAGGATGAGGCAAACAATATTCTGAGTTGTTTCCTCTAGGCTGATGCTGATAGTGATGACTATGTTTTCGACGAAACACGCTTGCCGAATGTTTGTTGTATTGAATAAATGACGATCTAAGCGACGAGCTTCCAGTGTACAGTTGCGCCGAATTGCAGTGGAGGGGTACGTACTAAGACAGATAAGATAAAGACTTTCTTGGCGTGGACTTACACGTGCCAGCCTCCAACTCAGGCAATTTAAGGTAATCAACCTTAAGTAAGAGACTTGAGGTAGATACTTTAGAACTAGTTTTCTATATATAAAGCAATGAACCCAGTGGCATTGGTAGTTTTGGATTTGTTAAATGTGTGATTGCTTTGACAAGAGCTCCACGAAGCAAATATGGTCACGCCCAACTCCTCGAACAATCACCCTTGAACAACCTACTAGTCAAGCTTCAAGTATAGATACTAAAGCAACTACTGCTAAGGTACGGAGTAGATGCGACATATGGAACTACTATCATTTAAAGTGAGCGTACAATTGAGCTGCTGTATACTTCCCCTCGAGTTACTCCAAAGTTGTATAGCGCGCGAACAACAATATAGGATCTGGATGGTCAAGGTCCCCTTAGAAGCATAGTGCGTGCTACATAGGAGACCTCAACACTTAGATATCAATTTTTTTTACTTGTAATAACTACAAAAATCAATTCATTAGCCAAAGAAGCTATCAACACATATTGGAACCTTTAGAGCATTTCGTCCATGTGTGTGAAGTTCAGAGGATAGAAGGTTCTAGAAGCTTCGACCATGGACCAGGGTTGTCGGGAATAGCTGCAGCTTACAACGGGGAAACGCAATCCGCAAGTCACAGTTACAAACCTCGATCCACGACAGATCTGTGCAATGTCTCACAGAGCACCAAGATGGTAAAAACATCATAGCATGGGTACACAACCATACAAGCCATTCAGGCAACCCCATAACCAGGCTTTATCATAGATCCGCTCGAGCTTCCAGCAACCATCTTAAGCTCCAAGTTGGGGCTCTCGAACTGGATTTCTGGCGTCTGGGGCGTCGTCTCCACCACGGCTAGGTATCGTCATAGGTCAGCTATCCCTGTCAAGTTGTCAGGTATCGACAGATTGAGCCCGACACGAGGACGAGAGAGTATGACCCATGAAGGTGTACTCCGTAGTGTAGGTAGTTTTGCGGAATTGACTTTGGAGAATTCTGTAAAGAGATACTTCCTAGGTAGCCAATACAGTCCATCAAAGAACAGACGACAGCAGCAGATGTATAGGTACTTGTCGTTGTTTGAGAGATATCCATCGATCGACTCGACGTCACCCCCACCCTGGTAGACTTGAGGTCAGCCAGCCTCTATTCCATATCAAGTTCCTTTCACATTGCGGTGTCTTTTTCCCCCTTCACTTTAGAAGCTTCCACAAGGTCCCATGCCCCAGTATTTCCCAGCAGTGGCTTCTGGAGATTGTCACGGTAGCATGGCGTAGTGCTTTCTCGACCTTGACTCAGAAGCGTCACTGGACTGATCTTTTAATCCTCACCTGCGGATTCCCACTCATCTTTTGTAAACTCACTCTTGCACTAAAACATCTCTCTTTAACCTCACATCACATTATCACCTCATTCAACCTAGAACGAAACTTCTTCTCATCATACTGAAGTGCACTTTTGGTGTTTGTTTTTCACTGTTTCAACAAACAATCAACAATAAGCAATCCTTGACATTGCTACCCATTTCTTCTTGTTATTCTCTCCCTATCGAACGGTTCATTTGGCTCGCCAAAATTTAACCATATCGCACACCTAAATAATCTTGAGAAACACGACTTCTAACAAGCGCGATCATGGTCAAAGAGACAAAGCTCTACGACACCCTCAACGTCAAGCCTGAGGCAACTCAGGACGAGATCAAGAAGGGATACAAGTAAGTACACAATATCTATACGGAGTTGCAGCGGCGCAATACAGAAACACCATTTTCTCATCAGGTTCTTGTTTTTGCAAATGCACAAGTAAACCATGTTTTGTACTCGGCGAATTGACGAAAGAGATTCTCTTCGCTGAAATAGGAACCACTGCGCATTCCGTCTAGCATCATGATCTGGCCAACACCGCTAACCACACCACCTACAGGAAAGCAGCCTTGAAATGGCACCCAGACAAGAACAAGGATAGCCCCGATGCGGCTGAAAAGTTCAAAGAATGCTCACAAGCATACGAAATTCTTTCCGATCCCGAGAAGCGAAAGATATATGATCAGTACGGCCTCGAATTCCTACTCCGCGGCGGTACCGCACAGCCCGAAGGTGGTGCCGGTGGAAACCCGTTCGCCGCTGGCGGCATGCCTGGAGGTTTTGAAGGTTTCAACTTCCAAGGTGGCATGCCCGGTGGAGGCGGCACCCGAACTTTCCACTTCAATACCGGCAGCGGCGGTGCTGGAGGCTTTGGCTTCAGCAACCCCGAAGAAATCTTTGCCGAATTCATGCGTAACGGATCTGCTGGTGGTATGCATGGTGGTGGCGACGACGACGACATCGCTGGCATGTTTGGCGGATTTGGCGGTGCTGGTCCTCGAAGCCGCAGTTCACGCACACGCTCAGGCTTCGAGCCTCGACCTAGAGAAGCTACTCCCGAGGTTACCACAGTCGAGCGACCCCTGCCCCTAACGCTTGAAGAGCTCTTTAACGGTGTGACCAAGAAGATGAAGATTAAGCGCAAGACTTACGATGAGACCGGAAAGAGAGTCCAGACCGACCAGATCCTTGAAGTCCCTATCAAGCCGGGCCTGAAGAAGGGTTCCAAGATCAAGTTCAACGGAGTCGGTGATCAAGTAGAGGGAGGCCGCCAGGATCTTCACTTTATTGTCGAAGAGGTAAGCACACCGTATCATAACTCTGTCTACGAAATAATAACTAACAAACCTACAGAAGGAACATCCTCTCTACAAGCGCGAGGATAACGATCTTGTCCATGTGGTAACCCTTGATCTCAAGGAGGCCTTGACCGGCTGGCGAAGGACAGTGACAACGATCGACGGCCGACAGCTCAACCTCGATAAGGGAGGCCCTACTCAGCCCAACAGCGAGGAACGGTATCCTGGCCTGGGTATGCCCATCTCTAAAAAGCCTGGCCAGCGAGGCGACTTCGTCATCAAGTACAAGATCAACTTTCCAGCAAGTTTGACTGCCGATCAGAAGCAGAAGCTCAGGGAGATTCTGTAAAGAGGCGCCGTCGCCGAACCTATCTGCAACTCTTACCGGATACTAGACGTTTGCTTGGGGAATTTTCCCAACCTCAGCAGCATCGGAATTCGGCTAGGAAGATCTGTAATACATTTAAATGGTGTTTTGGCGTTTGGGATTCTAATGAATAATGAAAAAATGTGGAAGTTCGATGGCACGAGCCTTAGCATGGAAGATCAGGCCTGGTTGCCCAGAGTACACAAGCGACAGGAGAATGATAGGAGGTTGATTATCATATGGCTTTTTGATATCCATTTGACGGCTGTTCTAATTGGTGTCTTGGTAGAAACGATGTCATATATACTATGGTAGCTGTCTCTAATACTACGACAGATTCAAGATCGAAAGAGAGTGACTTGCTGAAATGAAGAACTATCCATATGAGGTAAAAACAACTCATCTGGTACGATCGTGATTTGGGAAGGGTAATACTTTCTGTATCGCTTAATATGGGATGTTACAAATCCCGCAACTGGTAGAGGAGAGGAGCCGTGTATGACGAGAGCATTGATTGGAGTGGAGGTCCACCGCCGTTGAAGAGTGACACTGTTTACATGGACCATGAATGTTGATAGACGGACTATCGGTTCGAACTCTCCGAAGCCTGAATGTACTCACGTACATATGCTTATGCGAGGTCATCACTGTAGGCCGGTCTAATGCATACTGAGCATAATCCATGATTGTCAGAGGCTCAAAGAGCAAAGTCGCTGATGCGGGCCGGTTGACTGGAAGAAAACGGGTCCCTCTCTTTAGTGTCATTGTTCTAACAGGGATTCATAGTGCTTTGATGACGACACTGGGCGGTTCCTAGTCGGACCTTACCTTGGCTGAATGGAGGGGGAGGGGTATTTGATTCGATATGATGTTGATGTTCTTGCGAGGGGTTTGTTTTGTCTGACTTCCACGTGTTGACGATCGACAGTTCTTGAAGAACAAGCCAATTTTTCTTTAGCATATAGAGAAGTATTTTATCAGCACATAGTTCTTCTACCTGTTCGATTTACTATTCAAGTTGAAAGATACATAAAAGTCCCTCCCTGCTGTAAGGTGGGTAGCTAACCAGCCACCTTGAGATAAGGTAAGGTAAGGTAGCTAGCTGTTCATGAACGCGGGGTTTCTTGTTGAATCTTACCCATGAGGTGCAGATGGAATGCATATCAAACAACCTGTAGAGTTCATTGCAAGATAACCCGGGCAACCCCCGGCATCACAGTCGCACTTGCATATTCCAATTACAGCATATTGCAGTTACGGGCAGTCGTAGTCGTAGTCGCAATGGCAGGTCCAGTTCCCGTTACAGTTTCGAAAGTCCCTGCTCCGTTGAACCAAGGCAGGTCCTCCATAAAACCTCCATTCCCCCACAGTAGCTCCGTCACTGTCTTTTCTTCCTTCACCTCCATCAATTCCCTGCTCCACCTGGTTTCCACAAGGTTCTTCTGTTCTTCTCTTCTTAATACATCCAATTCCTCTTGAGAACTCGTCTTTGCTTCTTCACTCGAACTTTCTTCACTCAGATCTGCCAAAATGCCTGAGGTATGTGGCTCATGAAATCTCGATCTTATTCGCGCTTACACTGACAATTTCTAGATCAACACCCTCCTGTTCGATTGCGACAACACCCTCGTCCTCTCTGAGGAGCTTGCCTTCGAGGCTTGCGCAGGCCTCATCAACGAGATCTGCGAGGCTCGTCAAGTCGAGATGCGCTTCACTGGCGAGACCCTCATCAAGGAGTTCGTCGGCCAGAACTTCCGCGGCATGCTCACCACCCTCCAGAAGAACTACAACATCGAGATCTCACCTGAGGACATGGAGACCTATGTTCGAAAGGAGGAGGACGCCGTCATTGCCAAGCTCAAGGAATCTCTCCGACCTTGTGTTGGTGTTGATGAGCAGCTCGAGAAGCTTGCCGCTTCTGGCAAGTACACCATGTCCGTAGTTTCTTCCTCTGCCCTCCGCCGTGTCCGTGCCTCCATCGAGAAGGTTGGTCAGGACAAGTACTTCCAGGGCGATGTTGTCTTCTCTGCCGCTACAAGTCTCGAGAAGCCCACTAGCAAGCCTGATCCCGCTATCTACCTTCACGCTCTAGAGAAACTTGGCAAGAAGGCCGAGGAGGCTGTCGCTATTGAGGACAGCAAGAGCGGCACCCTTAGCGGCACTCGTGCCGGTATCAAGGTCATCGGTTATGTTGGCCCTTATGCTGAGGACAAGCAGCCCGAGATGGAGAAGACCTTGAGCGATGCCGGTGCTGTTGTCATCATGCGAGACTGGTCCGAGTTCCCTGCTGCTCTGCAGAAGATTGAGGCTGGTGAGGTCTAAAAAAACGAGCTTTGTTGTTGAAATTGCTTTAAGGAATACCCAAAATACATATCGGTCAAATAGCGAAAGAGATGGAGCAAATCACCTAGATCAATTGAACTAATAAACTTTACGAACCTTCTGCCCTGTTATGGTAGCCATTTGCCATTTGAGACAATGTTGAGACTGAGACTTGATGCAGCTTATTGTCTCAGATACAAGGTCGATGTCTCATGATTGATTTACAGATCCTAAATATATATATTCTATATGAAATGCATCATTTTCGCCAGTCCATTAAAAAGCTGTTGACACTCTGTAGAGTGGCCCGGCTGGGATTGGCGCCTGGGTAAGCTGTCATGATGACACCCAATCTCGACTTTATGAAAGTCTTTGTGAATGAGACGTCTTCTGTTGATTTTTTGATGTTCCCTTCATCACCAAATAGGTAGCATGATATCGCGAGGGCCACGCCGACTGATAGATCTCGCCCTGATTCGCAAGCCACCACAATTCGTTGCTGATCAGGCTCTGTGGCCGAGGCAAGATATTTAGCAGCAAAGTCGCATATTTCAGGTAGAGAAGTTCGAAGGTTGCGACTAGCCAGCTTGTTTTTGCCAAGGCCGGCTTGCATGTAAGTCTTGGACTTTATCCAGGTATCCTTTGGTGTGGTGTCTTGAGTTACGACGATGCGGCATTCTGAAGGGTTTGCATGAAGTGGCATAGGGCAAACTGAAATGTTTGGTGTCAGCTTTATCTGCGTTCCTTCGTCCTTCTTGCTAGCAGCATGATCACTGACTAGTCTGGAGATCAGATCTGGCAGTTCAGACTCTGGCGTCTTGAGAAGCTCGTCAATATTCTCCCAAAATAAAGGCGCTGTAAGATCATGCGCCCACATCTCAGTATCGTCAGCCGCACCCTGTATATATCCTCCCTCATCCATCTCGCTACCTATAACTCGGCGACTAGCCGTGCAGCAGATGACAGGGCGGAAGTCGTCAAATATGGAGGATGTGTCTTGAACAGAAGGAAGAGATGAGTCTGGAGTTATCCAGAATGGGCGGAGTGGTTTTGTCAGGCATGTTGGAAGATTGAGATTGAGTGCCTTGAAGGAATCGACGAATCCAGGGATGAGTGCGCATATTTGTGAGTGTGTTGTTGCAGGGAGATGAGCTGGCAGATAGAGATTTGCTGAGGATGGGTTTGAGGGGAGAAGAGTGAGGTTGAGGACTGTGCACCAGATAGGAATCGTCGAAGAAAGGGCATCAGGCATCCCTATATAAGTCAGTCGTCACTTTATCCGAGACTCTGGTTGTCATGAGAGAGAACATACTCTTTCCACGCCGAGTAGAGTCGACGATTATGATACTACCAACATGTTAGATCTCAGCTAACGGGAAGATAACTAGGCCTCTATACATACCCATCATGGTTCTCAATAAGCTCAACCAAATGTAAGTTCAACCTCCTGGTGCTGAATTTCCAAGCCCTCTCATGGCCATCCGTACTCTTAAAATACGCACTTGCGCCTTTACGCTCAGGCGGAATATACCAACTTCCACAACGTTCATTAGCCACAAGTGGTCGTGGGCCATATGCTTGAGACACCGCATCCACAAAGTCTGCGTCGATTTGGATGCTAGTCAGGCGGTTGTGGATTGTAAGTGTGGTGCGTTTGAAAGACGCCATAAGTTGAGACATGGAGAGTTGTTCATTTTGAGGGAGGATCAGATCGGAGAAGCGGGGTTCAGGCATGATGGCTATACAGTGAGAGGATGAATGTTTTATATGAGGTTGGCTTGAACTTTTACGTAGCGAGAAGTATTGAGAGGTCCAAACCGGCTTTGTAACGAGGGTATATAAGGTTGTGGTGTTGAATTTTTGGTGGAGCTTAAGAGTTTAAAGGGCATGGTGTTTTAGTATCCACCCCGCATTAGACTTAAGAGCATAATCAGATTCACTAACTTATAAGGAACCGGTAGATCACTTCTCAAAAGGCTGCAATAACAAAAGGCTTGATCATTACTTTTGGTCGTAACCCATCAGACATTTCTACACGTAGCATATGGTATTTATCCTTCTCCTATTCCTTTCCTTTCTTTGTACCCATTACTCCAGCCTCCACTTGCCATTCTCGATAACAATCTTGACTTCTCGGTTCTCATCAATACTTCTTCGGCCAGCCTCAAGAATAGCCGTTGTGGCAATAGTGTTCTTGAGAGTAGGGAGAGGCTTGGCGTCAAGGTCCTCAGGCTTGAGCTTACCAGAGTTGACAGCTCTGCAACCATCGACAAACTTCTCAATAGAGATGTAGCCATAACCAGTCTGGCCAGCGAAGTTGCCATCCTCATCAGGAGCATACTTCATGTAGAAGGGGTTGTACCACATCAATTGACCGATAGAGTCATCTGCAACGTCGTAGCCACGCTTGGCCTGGTCGATACGGATCTCGCCGTTGGCAGCGAGGTAGTGGAAGTATTGGTTCGAGTGGACACCGGCCTTTTGAGGAGCGGTCCACGAGGCTGTGTAGACACCAACGGCTCGCTTGCTGGGCTCGCCGTTCTTGTTCCAGGTGACGAGAAGTGAGATGGTATCCTCAGTAATGGGGTCGCAGCCCAGATCAACAGCAACACCCTTGGAGGAAGAGGCGTTAACGCTCACGGGCACATATCCGCGCTCCTGGACCATGGAGTCGCAAATATCGATGTGGTGGCTGTTGAGGTAGTAAGAGATATCAGACTCCTTTCCAGCCCATGCCTTGAAGGTCTCGAGCTGTGATTTGGGCTGGGACATATAACTGTAGAAGTAGTTGAAGTCGCCAAGCTTCTGAGCTTTTGCGCGAGCATCGGCGTAAGCAGGGTCATAACGCTTGTGGTGCTCAACGTAAACGTAGACACCCTTCTTCTGAGCGAGATCAACCAGCTCCTGATGCTCCTCGAGGACCTTGACGGCGGGCTTGGTGATCATGACATGGATGCCACGCTCAATGGCGTACTTTGCGATGGGGAAGTGGGTAGGGTCGGGGGTGAAGATTGTGATGGCATCGCCAGGCTTAAGAGCGTCAATGGCGGTCTTGTAAGCGTCGGGGTCGACCTTGTCGTTTTCTGGGAATGAGTCGAAGGAGGTGTCGAGGTTGTTGTAGACTTTTTGGATGTTCTTGTCGAGATGTTCGCCTAGGGGAGGTTAGTCGTGAGCATAACAACTACGTTCGAGAGATCCTTACGAATAGCAGGGAACTTCTTGCCATTGACGCCAACCATTCCCAGCTTGTTGACCTTTTCGCGACGGCGCAGATCAAAGAGACTGAGACCAACGACGCCAACCTTCTTGTCTGAACCAGAGGCACCGCCACCGACGAAACCGGTGGTGTACTCTCCAGTACCAATCTAGAGGTTTCGTATTAGCAAACTGGCATGAATTGAGTATGAGACCGTTGTTTTTGGATCAACTCACCATGAGGACATTGAGAGGCTCCATTGTGATGTTATGCCGAGGGGCAAGGCGGGGGAGGGGCTGAAGCTATGATGGGAGCAAAAACGGGGTATGAGGGTATATAAACGAGTCCCAGATTACGTATGGACGTATACGAAGGTCAAATGAAACTCGAGAGGGTGTAGAGACGAGGTCTAGAGCGCAATCATGAGACGATGGACATGAAGGCTGAATACTGTTCTTATGAATGCTCGCTCATGTCTCCGCTAGCTTGGAACCAAAGCTGGGGGACAGTTCGGGGTTCTCTCCGGACGTGATTGGAGGAAAAATGAGTCCCCGCGCCAAATCCCCCCAATCTCAAGCTAGAGAGAGGGATAGCTTTGGGAATATGGAGTCATGATGCCGGATAAATCTTGAGTTGAGGTGCTCATGTGAGTGTGGGGATGATACAGCTTCGCAGAAATCTGGGGGAGAAAGGGGTAGGTAGGGGAAGAGATGAGATTGAATCCTTGAGATAATGGTGCGTGCTATTGCTATGTATCCTGTTGTAGTTGATTCGGTGATCATGTTGGTGGTGTTTGTCTCACATAGGTAGCCAATACCTTAGTAGGTACTTAGCTAACATCGGGGGCGGGGAAATCCCCTCGTACTGTGACAGAAACCGTCAAAATTGGAGAGAATGAATGATCTTCACAGTACATAATCTATAGTGGCGATAGGTTATCATGACAGCAATTCTTGAGAGTATTGGACTAGTGGTGAAGGATAGATTCATTTCCCATTCTGACTAGAGAGGTATTTCTCACAGGGACCATAAATTCGATGGAGCGTCTAGAAGCCAGAAGCCAGAAGCCAGAAGCCAGAAGTTCCCAGAACCACCGGCCCCCAAACCCATGAGAGGATCATCACTATAAATCGACATGGGTTGCGAGGTGCAGTGAGGGGTACAGAGCGAGACGGGAGGATTAGTGCTTTGGAGGGGTCAACGTCAATATCCCCCCACCCCCACGGCACTAGAATCCCCGGCTCATGACCGGAAGCAATGGTAATCATGGGTGATATGATTTGATGTTTACAGCAGCAGAGTTTATCGTGTTACATTCCAGCGTGTGAATTATCAGTTGAAACCGTTTCAGCGTCGAATGTAACCTGTCGATAACATCAATTGTCGTCACCTAATCAAGTGCCGAAAGTCTATCAAAAGCTTCCTCGCATCCAGTTCCAAGTAAATTGATACTATGTATATCAATCAACTTTATAAAGTCTCGTGACTTTGACCCCTCACGTAACACGGCATCGGGGTGCCACGTTGGGGGTACCATCGCCAGAAATTCTCCGCCCACTCAGAGCCAGACTTTGACTTTTACCCCATCAACACCAAACGCCAAATTCCTCACCTCGACACTTTACACTCACTGCCAAGTAAGTAACTAACTCGGGCGCGCACACACTCAGTGGAAGTACAGTACATACAGGCATGTACAAGCACAAGCACAGCCCGGTCACCTTCCGGTCAGTCTCGATAAACCTATGCACTTTGCCTCTCTTACACACCGTGACGCCGCAAAATACAACAAGCCTTGGTCAGC